ACCATGAATGTGATTGGGATTCCAATTCCATCCAAGCAAACAATTGGAATCGGAACCCCTATTTCTGCAAATCAAATGGACCCTTAATTCCGATTTGGAATGCAAATCAAACATGACCTTCAATAAAAAAGGTATGGAGAACAATCACGAGTTTTCATATTATTAGACCTTAATAAATAATAAAAATCAGTGCTCCCAATCCCATTCCCATGCACACACAGGAAGGAATGTAAGCGGATTGTGTCGAATTTGAATCAAGGTATATCTTAATCTGATCTAATATTGTTACTTGAAGATCCGATCGGATCTTGGATCTGAATTCAAATCCGATGAGGAAATTGGATTTTCGGGTATGATTCGATTTGATTTTCTGTTTAAAAAAATTAATAAATTGTTAAAAGAAAATAAAATATAACAATTTAAATAAAGAAAAACAAAAACTACAAGTATCTTTTTAATTATTTTCATCGTATATTTATTTATTTATAAAAAAATAAATAATATAACAAATTTACAAAAATACAATATAAATAATATATTTATAAATAAATAAATAATATATATATATATATATATATATATATATATATTGAATCAGATAAAGGGTGATCCGAATTCAATCCAATTTTTGATTGGATCCTATTATCCAATCCAAAAATCCAAAAAAGGACTATCCAAATCTAAAATTATAAGATCAAACTTTGGATTGAATCGGATCATGATCTTATCCATTTACACCCCTATCCCTACACACATGACAGAGGACACAACCTCTGTAGCATGGAAAGCATTATGATGCTATGGCTATGAGACAGTTCCTCGTAAAAACTTGAGTTGAGTCGCACATTCTTTCCAATAAAATTTTGAGGGATGATAACAGACATGATTTGAAAGAATACAGAATGATGATAGAGCCAAAACCATGGGAATTCGCTCTGTTTCAGTGGATTTCATGTTCAGTCACGGACAAATCCTAATCACACTCACTTAAGACTGTGGGCCGGTTAGGAAGCAGCTAAGCCGGCCGGGGGGTGTCTCTCTATTTCAAGGATCATGGTGATGGTGGAATAATGAAATGAATCCTTTGAAACTAAATTTATTTTTAATCTACCTCTGGGTATCTGGATCTGGTTATTAAACAACAGACCGCTCAGTAGTGATTTGATGATACATACGCGTAGAAATCATTGGTTTTGTTTTTATTTATATATAATAATATATTTTAGCGCGTGGATTTTCACAATAACATCAGAGGACCGGAATATACAAATAAAACAAAAACAGGAGAGGAAGTGCCTTAGTTTATTTATTATATCCGGTTATATTCACTTAGATTGATCAATCTGAGCTCCATGTGAATACATAGAAATTCTTTGTTAGTTTGCCCGGTTAGTCGGCCTTTCTTTCTGTTACAATATTCATCTCACTCTATCAAGTTTTGTAGTGATAAATGTTAAAAAGGCATATTTCTACCTTGGAATTTGTGTTTACATGACTTAGTGAATAATTGGCAAATTTATGGGAATGTGAATATGAGCAAAGGGCTTTTGGCTTCAGGCAATTTGTCAAACTACGCATGTGGGTGGCTCTATCCTTGTTTTAATTATCCAAATAAGCAACTTTTGGTTTTGAATAAGGAGAAGGTGGTGGTGTTGATTCTTCTACCACATTTAATTATCCAAATAACCAACTTTGAATTGTCTTTTCAAATACTAGATTTGACCAAGTAAATGAGAAACTTGCTACAGCAGCTAGAGACCTTACATGGATTTTTATTCTTTTTGCAGTTAAAATATGCTCAATGCAACAACAATCTGTTATTGTATTCAATTTATGTTTTACAAGCTTCTAATGGCAAGACATTTTTAGGGAGTCTTAGTTCCATTATACATTAAATTTGTGGAAGTTGAGCTGGTATGATAGGTTTCCAAACTCCAAAGAGCTTATTCTATATACCTTATATATTTCCTTTCTATGAACATATTGTCGGTGTAGTAGAGGGTGCTATGAATTCATTAATTCAGGGTGGTTGTGTTATTGTTTCAGAGATTTCTACATATTTCTAGTTGGTAGAAACCAAGAAAATAAAAAGAGAATGTCTGTATTTTCTTCAAGAGATTGAGGGGAGAAAAATACAATGGCTCAGTTTGGTTTGTAATGGAGATTTATGATCAAATCCTATCGTCATTAAGGTTGGGTGGGGTGACATATATCGGATATTAATCAGATTTAAATTCAAATATTAATTTTTAATATCTGAATTAAATTAGGATATGGAATTTTCTAATCCAATTCGAATTCAGATATTACCTGATGATCCATTCGTTTATACCCCTATTTCCAAGAAAAATTTGAAGTGATTTGTTTTGGTTGTTGGGACACAGGGGTTGTATTATTTGTATATGTGGGTTGATTGGAAGGTTGTACAATCCAAGGTTTTGTAGCAGTAGTAGGGTGACGTAGCAACTAGAGTCTACCTATATATATATATATATATATCAAATATATAGGAAGGTGTCTGCAATTAGCCATGTGGCCGTGGTCCTTGTCGAGGTCAGACTAATAGCGATACATACCCCACCACTTGTCTGTTTTTCTTATACGGGAAAGAAAAAGGAGAGAGACGTAATATGTCATACGACTCCTTCCCATCCTTTGCTTTGCTGCTACACAATTCTCTGTCTAACTTGTACCTCAGCTTAAGATAATACTGAAAGCGTGGCTTCTGCCATGGGCGATGGGCCACATTGTGAGCCTTAAAATCAGCTTAATATGAGGTGGACAAGCTCAAATGCTGACCAGCTGGGTCTACCTATTGTCATTACAATTTACTTACTCTTCGGCTGTGTTTTGTTTGAAGGGAAAGGATTTTTTAAAAGGTAAGGAGACCTAATACAAACCAAACACACCCTTGTATAAGTTTTTCTTTCTTTCCCTATCTTTTCCTTCAAACCAAACACAGTCTTATATCTACTTATCTCTCATCTCATTTCTTTCAAGATTTAACAATAATGGACCCACCATGCATGCCCATATAGCTGAAGTGGTTGAACAGTCTTGCCTGGACTGAATGGCTTATTGCCTACTCTTTTAGCCAATATAATGGCTTATTGCCCCATTCTATACACCAATGCCTATTCGTAAATTGGCATCAATTTCGAACTGGTATCCACTCCAACTGTACTTTGAGCCTAAAGATTCTGACCCAGGGCTGAACCGTCGTTGAGGAAGTAGTATGAACACTATTGCTTCCTCGTCATTATTTTCCTCCATTTTCTCCAAAAAAAAGATCAAAGAGAAAATTTCCTTTATCAAGAAGTCAGTTCTTTAGGGGAATTTCTAATCACAATGTCTGAAGTGGCTGAACTGAATGACATATTGCTTTGTCTTAAAGTATTTAAATTATAAAATATTAAAGGAAATTAAATGGTAATCAATTCAACCATTTTTCATCTTTCATCAAATGATCCCTTCTTTTCCCTTCATCTGATCCTACTTTTCCCTTCATTTCTTCCATTCTCTTCACAGTACTAGCTAATACTGTATTTTAATTTTAAAGGCCAACCAAGATAATTTATTTGTGGAAAAGTGATCCTTAGATTTAAAGCACATAACATGCGGTCTGGCTTTTTCAAGGAAGGCAAGATGATGATAAAGTAGAAGTTGACCCAGAGGTCCAGCTAGACACCCAATTTTGGAACCTGCAGTAAGACTCTCATTTGTCAGGGTTAGTCTCCTTTGATATCATATGATGATGATTCTCAAATTAATGGTCCCATCTCCCAAATTTACATCTTATAAGGCTTAAAAAAACCCCAATATTAAGAATTTACAGTCTCACACTAAAAATATTTCTATACTTGTGTGTTTTATTTCATGGAGAGATATTTTCAATGCATGGTTATAAGAGGTTGTTCGAACGGTGTGAACATGGACTTACACTGACCAAAGCCGAACTCCAATATTGAGGTTTTATAGATACAATGTGAATGGTTGGGTTATCATCTCATGGGCAGGTCTAAATTGGGGTTGCAACGTTGAGATCACCTTAATATTATAACTAACCCTTAGGTTGGATTCAAGCTGATACATGCATAAATTATTACACATATTCATTAGTAAATCGAATTGCCAAGGTACTTAATCCAACTTATTTCCAAATTAAATTCGCATTTTCAAGCAACCCAACACTTAACCCAATTTTTGATCCAACTCAAACGAACCATTTTGTTGGGTTTTCTAAGACCATGTTTTGAAAACCGAGAAAAGTGTGGTATGTGAAAATGCCTTTTTAGTTTTTTTCACCTTTTTCTATATTTGCTAGCAACAATATGTTGACATGGTATTGCAAAAATGTCTATGTGACAGCAACAACAATAATACCAAATAGAAAAAAAAAATGTTTTTTGAGAAAGTAAAATGACAATGCAACACCATTTTTTTAAGAAATGCCTCTTAGAAAACAGCATTGATTCCAAACACCACCTTAATAGATGCCCTACCGTATCTACCATCCAACAAACAAAAAAGTAAAAATAAAACAGGAATTTTAATGGCTCAAAACTCTCAACACACAAAAAATACTTTAAATTGTAGACGATATCAATGGATCAGGTTCAATGCAGGTTTGACTTCACCTTAACCTTGACCCTTCAATGCTCCATCCTAAACCTAACCATATTTTTTTATAATACATTTTGAAAACTCAAAAGCAATTAATTTAAATTAGAATTTAGTGATAAAAAAATGTAAGTTAAAATTTGATTAGTGGGTTTCAAGATTGTCACTCCCTCAAACTAAAACAAATTCAAGAAACCCCAAAATTTTAAGATTATGCAGCAAAATCCGAATCCGTGTTGGGTTTAAGCCAAGGATCAAAACCCGAATGTATATTATGGGTATTACCATTTTAACTCGACAGTCGACCCATTAACATCCTTGTATCCTGGTCTCGTAGTGCTCCCTGCTGCAACACAGAAGATACTGATCACCGCACCTGTAAATAAGACGACAGTAGTAGTAGTAGTAGTAGAAAGTGGAGGAGTAAATAGTACAGATGAAGACAACACGTTTACCGTGAGAGCGAGAGACACGGTGTGGGGCTTGGGATTCCTTCGGATGGCATCCTAAATTAATAAAGGTACTCCCACGACAAAACCGCATTTATATCGTCCGAACCTTTTGCTCCCCACCATTTTTTGGTTTTCCTTCACTCCGGCTTCCTCCGATACCCGCCATTCTCGCCGACCATTGCCATCAGACGGTCGATGCTTCTCAGATCGATACTCACCATTGCAGGGAAGTGTTGTTACTTTCTTTCTCTTCAATTCTTACTTGTTTAATTTCAGTAACTTGGTATTTGTCGTAATGGTACGGTGATTCTGAAATTGGGAAGCTCAGTGCTGGGAATTCCTCTTTTTTCCTTTTTCGGGGGTGGGGTGGATTTGGATTCTTTGTTGATTTTTAAGGGAATTGTGCTGGTGAATTGGTGGTATTGGTATGTGGGTTGCTCTTGTTTGGAACCATGGACATGTGGGTGTACTGTTTCTGGATTTCTGGGGGCGTAGTGAGGCGGATTAGACGTACTCTAGGGTTTATGTTTGGAGCATCTGGAGTGCCTGATCTTTAAGCGGAAATTAGTGTTCGATTTCTGGATTTTTGCTTTTCTGGTCGTGGTTGGGTTCTTTGTGTTGCTTTGGAATCTGGTAGGTCTCTATACGAGGGTTTTGATGAATTGATACCAAGGATTTGGTCTTTGGCTTCTGGGCTTCCGGGGTTTTGCTTTTGGGTTCTTTGAGTTGATTTGGCACCTGAGAAGTTTGAATTTTGTGGGGTTTTACTAATGGAGGCCAGAATTGGAGGTGAGTTTCATCATTTCTATGGCCAAGGTGCTTCTGGTATTGTATTGGAGGAGAAGGACTGGATGGGGGTTGGAAGGAGGAGTTTGGAGTGGGATCTGAATGACTGGAAGTGGGATGGAGATCTCTTCATTTCTAGCCCTTTGAATTCTGTCCCATCAGATTGCAGGGGTAGGCACTTATTCCCAGGAAGCTCCGGAATTCCCACAGCTGGTGGTTCGTCAAACAGTTCATCTTCTTGTTCTGATGAGATCAATCCAGGCTCTGAGAAAGGTAAAAGGGAATTGGAGAAGCGGAGGCGGGTTATTGTGGTTGAAGATGAAGAGTTGAATGATGAAGCTGGGTCCCTCACTCTAAAGCTTGGTGGTCATGGTTATCCTATCACGGAAGCTGATATTTCAAATTGGGATGGCAAGAATGGAAAGAAGACCAAGTTACTTGGCACTACTTCGAACCGTGCCGTCTGTCAAGTAAAAGACTGTGGGGCTGATCTTAGCAATGCCAAAGATTATCACAGACGACATAAGGTCTGTGAAATGCACTCTAAGGCCAGCAAAGCACTTGTGGACAATGTTATGCAGCGGTTTTGTCAGCAGTGTAGTCGGTATGTATCTTTCTATTCAGTAATCTCCATTTTGAGTAATGTAGCACCATGAAGGCCACTCCAGTGTATTTGATAATAGTTCTGATATTATTGTAAACCTATTCTGTCAATGAACAATCTCAGATAAATCACATCATGACCTAACTGTCTAATCCTCTTTTTGCCCACTTGATCAGAAAGTCTGTTTTATACTTTTGTCCCTGTATTGACAAATTTTGGGGGTTTAATGGTTTGTTTTATTAAACAGTTGCAAAATCCTGTTACATGCAAGACTAATTGCTATTTTATTTTACTTATGAACAGGTTTCATGTTCTTCAAGAGTTTGATGAAGGGAAGAGAAGTTGTCGCAGACGTCTGGCAGGCCATAACAAACGGAGGCGGAAAACACATCCTGAAACAGTTGTTAATGGAAGCTCCTTGAATGATGAACAAGCTAGTAGTTACCTATTAATAAGTCTACTAAGAATTCTTTCCAACATGCACTGTAAGTTTCTTAGCTTATTTTCAATTGTTATATGTGCCATGCTCCTTTCTTGTCAATCAGGAATATTGATACCAAATTCAGAGGTTGTGCTTTTTCTATCACTTATTTGTTTTATTATCAGAAAATATTTACTTTTGTGGTTATTAGAGAGGTTTGTAAGGGGAGCCATAGGTGTTTGATTGGGGGAAGGATGGTGGATGAGATAATAGTTCATGATTTCTATATATTTCCAAACATATAATGTCTGTTCTTTAGATCCGTTGTTTAGTGAGTTGCACATTAAATCCAAGACAATCAATAGTTGGATCTGCTCGGCCTTATCTTCCTATTGGTTTAAATACGTAAGAAAATATTTTATGTCAATTTAACCAGTCTTTTATTATTCATGGTGTCAAAAAACAACGTGAGCAAAAGATCACATAGGATGTAAGCACTTTATATTTCTGAGTTATGATTCACGTTTCTCTGTAGTAAACTGAACAGTATTGGTGATTTCTTGTAGATGATAAGAGGTGAATTTTGATGGTGATTGGAAGTTTGAGAAATTTGGAAGCTTTTTCCTGATGATTCTTGTTTGATATCATCAGCAGGGGAATTCCCAGTTCAAGTCCTTAGCAGACAAGCTTCTTTTAGAGAGGAATTCTTCTTCATTCTTAGTTTCTTTGACGGGAGTACACCTATAACCATATATTGAACTTGAATAGACAATCTACACCAAGAAAACCGGCTGAACTACATATTAAAATGATACAGAGTTAGGACAATCCTGATTCCATCTGTAACCACAGTCATATTTGGAGGAAGATGAAGGCATTGAGGCAGCATTAACTGAAAAGACAAAGTCAATGGAAGAGGAGCTAGATATACAGGAGAAGGATGCTATTACTTTGCTTGCTAACTTCCAAGTGTGGCAAGAGACTTTCAAGATTATTTGTCTCTAATGTATAATGTCAAATATATATTGTTGGTAAAGGAAGAACTGGAGAAAATAAATTGTTAAAAAAGAGTGCACTGTCATCCAAATGAAGTTTCCACCTAAGGCTGCAACTTGGGCCGGGTTGGCCCGAACCCAACCCGAAAAAGTCGGGTTGGGTCGGGTCGATGCTCGGGTTAGGGTTAGGGTTGAAATTTATGAACCCAACTTGGGCAACCCTAACCCAACCCGAACCCGATTCTATAGTACATATCATATATAAATATATGTTATATATATGATATCATACATTGATTTGTTTATATGCATGATAGTTGTATAGCCCCTACTACATACTATCATTTATTTCTTTTAAGATAATCACTTCACTTAATCCTAATTGAAAATACCAAAACCTTAATATCATTTTTTTATGTTTTTTGAATATTTTATTCTTTATCTCCTCTTTGTTGTTTGYCACYCATAGCTTATTGCCCATAAAAGATCTATTATAAGCTATAACTCATAATAAACTATAATCATTTCAAATACTATTTTTTGAATTTTGTACTTAAAGAACCAATAAAAACATCAACAAATAAATACTAATAAAACATAGGATTAATATATGTAGTGAAAGTTGAGTTAAGATCTGAGATTAAGAAGTTCTATGAGATTTTAAGGGATGGGAAGAAGGTTGGGTTGAGCCCAACCCGAAGTTGACTTCGGGTTGGGTTGGGTTGGGTTAGGGTTGAAGGAATTTAGTTAGGGTTAGGGTTAGGATTGGGTAGGTCGGGTTGAAGCTCGGGTTGGGTTAGGGTTAGGGTTGGGGTTTGGAACTTAGGGTTGGCCTCAACCCGACCTAACCCGGCCCGACTTGCAGCCCTATTTCCACCTAAAGGATGAATTAATATGTTTGGAGTAATTTCTTGTATGAAACTACTGGATTTTTCTGAGGCATTAAATGCATCTTAGTTATTTATCAATATATAAACATATATATATATATATATATATATATCTTGGAGTGAGCTTGGGGGAACAATTTTCCTTTGGCAGTGGATACACTCAGAAGCTGGGGGATTGAATTTTGTGTTGGTTTATATTGTTAGAATAGACCATATTGGGCTGGGAGAAAGGAGACCTTTAATAATCATATAGCATTATTTGAAAGCTGATTTGGGTCTCATCAGTGCATGGAAAATTGAAAGAGACTAATTGATTTTATTGGAATACCTGATGATTTGATGAGATCTAAGAAGGTATTATTACCAGCATCAGACTTGTATGGACTGTGTCATCTACAGAACTCTTGGGGGGACTCCTCTCTGTTGAAACCATCTTATGCCACTAGAAAACATCATCAAATCTTAGGATAAAATAGGGCATAAATTGTGAATTCATATTGTTTAATTATTTAGTATAGTCAATTGTAAATTATTTTGATAATCATAAAAGATGTAAATTATTTTAAATTGTTTAATGTTGGTTGCAATGATTTATTCTTCTACATTTAATTTGTTTTCTTTTCCTATAATTGTTTCAATTTATCTATATAAAGAAAAATACATGTTAAATAAAACTTGAAATTTAGAGAGTTCCTGTAGAATCCCTGAATCTTGTTCTTTGGGGCTCATCAAGTCTGGAACCTTGTGGTACCTGTATCCATGTAGGAGGCTGAGTTAAATGTTGCTGGTCTATCTATGTTTGAACGTGTTTTTACTTAATATGCCTAAAGCTTGTTCAGGTGCATGGGTTCCTTCTATGACAGGCTTTTTGTATTGCCTGCTCCTCCATTGGCCAGCAGAGATGGCCAATGAGATGGTTACACGATGTGCTACTGTTCAATATTATATTGAATCAAGATAAACTAACTTCAATCCATTCACAATTGTTAACTTATCAAAAAAAAAAAAAAAACAAAATCCATTCAACTGTTAAGCCCTGTGCCAGTTTAAAGTCTCCATTGTTTTTATCTGAATCAAATCCCAAGAATGTATCAAATTGCAAGTTGTAGACAATGCGAATGTTACTCAAGATAAACTAACTTAAATTCATATTCATTAAGCCTTTGCCAGTTCTCTTAATCTAAAATATGCATTATTTCTATGTGAATAAAATTTAATGAAGTACCAAGTTACAAGTTCTAGGCAATGCAAGTTTGACTATTAGAAGAATATTTGAAGGAGAGAATTGGAAGGGGGTGTTTTTTTTTGGGGGGGGGGGAGGGATGAGGGTGTGGAGGTGTGGAAGGAGAGGATTGGAAGAATATTTGAAGGAAAATCAAAATGCAAGAAGTCGTGTGCAGTATTAGAGCAAAGCTGATGGGTTGGTGTTTGTGCTTAAATTTTAAGGGGGTTAAGAGAGAGGATCTTGGGTCTGATTTTTGGTGTACCTTAGAACTGTAATTGGAGAGTCATTTTGTTAAGATGATGTGTCCCACTGAGCTCAACTAAACAGAGCCATTGCCCCAATTATTTAGGGTCAGCTACATGAATCCTGTTTTTGATTATCAAGGGCCATATTCTATGTTAGTATTATTATGTCTTCTGTTATCTAACTTCTAGTTGTTTTTGCAGTGATGGCATATTTCCAGGGTTAACTTATTCTATTTTCTATCAATTGTAGCAAATAGCTCTGATCAGACAAAGGATCAGGACCTTCTGTCTCATCTTTTGAGGAACCTTGCTAGCTTTGCTGGTGCAGTTGATGGAAGGAACATATCTGGGCTATTGCAGGATTCCCAAGATCCGTTGAAAGTTGGGACCTCTGTTGGAAAATCTTCAGAGAAAGTGGCACCTTTGCTCACAAATGGTGCTGATACAACCAGACTTGTGGGCTCAACTTCTAAGATAAATTGTAATGGTGCTCAAGGTCCTCAGATTGGGTCCAGTGACCATTGTTTTGGTGCATCTACCGCTGTGATGCCACAGAAAGTAATGGTTACAGAAGATGCTCGGGTTGGAGTTCTACAAGTTGTATCTTCACAAAAATCCACAACCTTGTTTCCAATGAAACATGGCAACCCATCCAAAGGCACACAGTCTATGGCGCGGAGGACCAAATTAAATAATATTGATCTGAATAACATCTATAATGATTCACAAGATTGCATTGAAGACGCAGAGGGGTCACAAGCCCCTGCACTTGATTTCCCCACATGGATGCAACAGGATTCACACCAATCGAGCCCACCTCAAGCAAGCAGGAATTCAGATTCAGCATCTGCACAGTCACCATCTAGTTCCAGTGGGGATACTCAGGTATGTATTTGACTATTTGTATTAATTGCATATTCATTGGCATTTAAACTACATTATAAAGTATGGTGTTGTTTGTTAGTCAGTATTAGTTCTGCTTTTGCATTGAGTGTGGTGGTATAGAGTAATTTTTATGGATTACTTATGTTTCTTTCCATGTGCCAAGGAAGAGTCCAAGAATTTTATTCATTGAGTTCAACTTTCTCATGGTTAAAACTAGATTCTCTCTGTTTTCCATTTATCATCTTCATTTTTTTTTGTTTTCATTTTTCCTTATTTACTACTACCAGTCAATGATTTAAAAGGTGCATCTAGGTGAACAGGTGAGGCGCATCGCACATTTCAAGGCATGTGCCTCACCTAGGCCCAGGTGCAGCCCCTTTTGAAAGGCAGAAGCCTGGTGTGCCTAGGCGTGCACGTGGTGTACCTTGCACCTCAGCTCAGACATGCAGCCTAGTCTAATTGTGTGCCTTTCGCATTTTTTTTAAGCAGTGGCTGGGCAATTATCCTTGTTCATGTGAGAGTTGAAGTATGGAAGTGAAAATGTAAAAAATAAAATCAAACATGGCATATAAAACATATTCAAACATATGAAACTATCAATCTCTTTATTCCTTTCCCAATCACATTACTTTAAATAGCTAAAGTATTATTAATTTTACAATCTGCCTTTGTATCAAGCCCCTTGGGGCAACCCCAAAGAAGCCCATATTATGATCTTAAGGCTGTGTTTGGCTGCAATGTAAATAAATTTGCACTGATGCAAAACCATGGCAGTGCAAATGATTTGAGTGTAAATTCTGACCTATTTTTGTTTCAAATTTTAGCCTATTTTGTTTGATTGTAGTACAAATGAAATAAATTAAGACATGAAGTAGAATAAAGTAAAATCCAAAACAAAATTAAACAAGAATTTGCATTTTTTACATTTGCACTCCCATTCATTTGTACTAGTGCAAATAAAATTACACCACAACCAAACACAGCCTAAATTCTTAACCCATATATAAAATATTCCTTTTGTAATTATAATTATAGTTTCTTACCTTGTGAAGGTTTATTATATTAAAAGATAATTGTGTTTGTTTTACATTTTCACTTTAAATATAGTTCATATATTTGTATTTTAATTCAGCCAATAGAATTTTTAAAACTTTTAGTTTAAAATTTAAGTTTTACATTTTTCTAAGTTAATACTATTTTAATATTTTTAATTTATTTGGAAATTTTTATAATTGTTTTTGCTTTTTCTTTTTTAATTTTTAAAAGTTTTTTGCACCTTGCTTCAAAAAGGCACATACCTCGCCTTGCGCCTCGGGCACAAAAAGCCCCTTGTGCCTTTTTCGTGTGTTGCGCTTTGCTACCAGTAGTAGTCTATAGATAAGCTGTGGGTCCATGGAGCTGGAGCACCCGAGTTCTGTTTCAGATCATGAAGTTGTACAAACTAATTGAACAGTCATTTTTCCCCCAATTGTCTCAGCCTGCCCAACAACTCTCCAGTCTATTGATACAATGAGCTGTTCTTTATTGGCATATATTATAATTTATAAACTTGCTAAGAAGGCACTCCTACTGTTCAAAAATGCATAACTGCACTTCCTCACTGCCCATTTTGGATGAAGAAATATTCAAGTCAGAATTGATACGCCGACTCCATCATATCTATGATATTGACATATTAAAGAAATGCTATGATATTTAGTTGCAGTTAATTGTGTTTGAAGCGTGATTTTTTTTTTCTGCTAAGAAAATGAATATGTAAATTTGTTGCTTCTCGTAATACCCATTTCTTTTGATATCAGAGTCGAACAGATCGGATTGTTTTTAAACTCTTTGGCAAAGATCCAAGTGATTTTCCTCTTGTTCTGCGAGCACAGGTATTTTCTGGTCCTTATATTGGTTTGAGTACATCTCTGTTTGTTACCTCAGACTGTTTATTGTTAATTGTCTTAAATTTACAGATTGTGGACTGGTTATCCCACAGTCCTACAGACATGGAGAGCTACATTAGGCCTGGTTGTATCATTCTAACAGTTTACCTTCGACTGCAAGATTCCACATGGGATGAGGTATATTATATCTGCAAAGCATTGTTATCAATTTATCATCAATATGGGTAATCATACTTGGTCTCTTTGTTTTTTTGCAGCATCACTAAAACTCTGTTCTTGTTTGTCAATTGCAGATTTGTGGTGACCTAAGCTCTTCTTTGAGCAGGCTCTTGGATGCATCTGATGGCAGTTTCTGGAGAACTGGATGGGTGTATGCTAGGGTGCAGCATCGAATTGCATTTGTCTACAATGGTTGTTTGTTTGTTTTTTTTTATGATTATTTTCTGCTCTTTATATTTTTTGTTTCTTTTTTCCTTTGTTTTTGTCTTTCCCTTCCATTAAAGTTACAGATGTATCTAGAAGTTAGCTGTAGCTCCGTTATATGGAATGATTAAGGTTCTGACTCTGTTATTCAAACTCCAGGTCAGATTGTTCTAGACACGCCATTACCTCTCAAAACTCATAATCATTGTAGGATATCAAGTATTGCACCAATAGCAGTTACTGTATCTGAGAAGGCTCGTTTTATTGTTAAAGGCTTTAATCTGTCTCGGCCCACCACCAGGTACCCACCCCATCACCTTTCATTCTACAATTATGTGTTTCTTCATTCTTTCCCTCTTTTCCTTGCTTGAAGCCTAAAACAAAGATATGATCTATGCCATAGAAGAATTGTCTGGTTACTTTCTGCCCAGAAGGGAAAGATTGAGGTTCACACTATACACACAGACCAATGCTGAAGTTTTATGTAGAGACTAACTCCTTTCTCTCTCTCTCTCTCTTCTTTTTTCTTGTTGGCTTTTCAGGTTGCTCTGTGCACTAGAGGGCAACTATTTGGTCCAAGAAGCTACTCGTGATTTGGTGGTGAGCAATGAGATCTTCAAGGAACAGGATGAGTTCCAGTGCCTCAGATTTGATTCTTCTATACCTGATGTAATTGGGAGAGGATTCATTGAGGTATGCATCTTTTGATGTTTCTCATGAAGTTCAATTATCTTGTTCTCTTACTGGTAAACTATTCAACTATGATCTGTAAGTAGCACAGGTTTTTACATTTTTCCTCTTATAAGAGTACTGGCCAGGTTCATCAAATGATATACTGTATAGGAATGCTTCTATGTCCAGATTGATATAGTCCAGTTTGTGGTTACTGTAACCATGTGCACAGTGCACACATTTCTTTCCTGGTCATTGAGAATAAAAGTAAATTGGATGTTGTGCTCAAGGTTCAAAATATCGACACGCCTGATACACCAGGACGTATCGGGCGATATCGATAGTGTTTTTTAGGCTTTTTTTTAATTTTTTTTCAAAACCGGTTCAGGGGGGCCGGTTTAAGGCTCCTCCACCCCCTGAACCGGTCAGAACCCCGATACACCCCTGTAGGTGCGTATCGGGAAGCCACTGGCACGATACGTATCGATACTTTGAACCTTGGTTGTGCTTATTTGTAGGCTGGTTTCTAGCTACCCCCTATGTGAATCCAACTAAATTCAGGTCCATCTGATGGCTGATGCCTCGTGTTTGTGGCTATGTCATGTATTAATCACTGATAAAATGAAAAATGGAAAAAGTTCATGCTTTTGACTTATTCTCAGGCTTACCCACACTAAATTCTGGTCATTTGTACCTGTTCAGGTTGAAGACCATGGCCTCAGCAGCAGTTTTTTCCCTTTCATAGTTGCAGAGCAGGATGTGTGTTCTGAGATCCGTATGCTGGAGAGTGTAATAGAGGAGGCCAAGTCTGAAAATGATGCCCAGAGAAGAACTGAAAAAATTGAAGCCAAGAATCAGGCCTTGGACTTCATACATGAAATGGGATGGCTTCTTCACAGGACTCATATGAGGTCTAGATTGGGTCACATGGATCCTAACTTGGATGCATTTTCCTTCAAACGGTTTAGATTGATCATGGAGTTTTCCATGGATCATGGTTGGTGTGCTGTAGTCAAGAAACTATTGGACATTGTGTTCAAAGGAAATGTGGATGTAGAAGAGCATCCTTCCGTTGAGCTTGCATTGTCAGAGATGGGCCTCTTACACAGAGCTGTGCGGAGAAATTGTAAACCATTGGTAGAACTCTTATTGAGATACATCCCAGACAATTCAGATGGTGCAGAATCGAAATACAATCAACAGGGAGTCAGAGTTTTTGATGGCTTCTTGTTTAGACCTGATGTTGTTGGTCCTGCGGGTTTGACTCCACTTCATGTAGCTGCCAGTAGGGATGGTTGTGAAAATGTTCTGGATGCATTAACGGATGATCCTGGAATGGTATTCCCTGCTCCATTGTATATCTTAGGATACCTTAAATCCCTAATAGAGAATGGCAGATCTAATATTTGATCATTTTTGGAAGCACATTTCTTCACATACTGTAACACAAATTATGACCTTTCCCATATCTTCACCAGTACTAGTCTGGGTTATCCAAACTGAGCCACCCCCCATGTGCAAGGCTTCACTGATCACAACACCCTTGATAAGCTTTGATTTCTTGTTTACAGGTTGCAATACAATTTTTTTCATTTACCCTTTCAAGGTTCTGATGTTGGTTATCCTTGCTCAGGTGGGAGTTGACGCATGGAAGAATGCTCGTGATAACACAGGTTTCACACCAGAAGACTATGCCCGCCTGAGAGGCCATTATTCTTACATCCATCTGGTCCATAAGAAAGCAAAGAAACCAGAAGCTGGTCATGTGGTCCTTGACATTCCTGGTGTTCTTCCAGATTGCAACAACAATCAGAAGCAAATGGATGGACTGCCGGTGGGAAAAGGTACCAGTTTTCAGATTGACAAGACAAAATTAGCAGTTTCACGGTATTGCAAGGCATGTGATCAGCGGCTGGCTTCTTATGGCACCACTAGCAGATCACTGGTGTACAGGCCAGCAATGTTGTCAATGGTGGCCATTGCGGCAGTATGCGTCTGTGTAGCCCTGCTCTTCAAAAGTTCACCTGAGGTTCTATGCGTGTTTCCACCATTTAGGTGGGAATTGTTGGATTACGGACCAATGTAGGTCCACCGTGATCCTATATCTCTGTACTAGTTTCTATAGGATGTAAATTGATGATGAGGTTTTCCTGTAGTACTGCTGTTGGAGCTTTGGATGGATTTGAATCCAGTGAATACACTCTGTATTTATGTTGTTCCATTAATCAATAGGGAATTTCATTTATTTATATTTTTTGGGATGTGAAAGGAACGTAGTGGTTTAAAACAGAAAATTTAATTTGGGTTAATAAATGAAATTGGGTTTGGAAATTGGAACCAAGTTATGGTAAAAATCAACATAATGCTTTTAGTTGGAGTTGTCTAAACGCACATTTGCATAATTAATTCTATGAAGCAAGGCTATGTTTGGAAAAACAAAGTTGAACTAAAAAGTGTCTTGAGCGATCGGCAAGAATTGCTTTTAAAAAAGTAAAATGATCTAATTCTAAAGTCAAAACAAACACCTTTAAGCCCCAAAGTGGCTGCCTGAAGCTGATCCAAATGCAACCTATGATTTGTAACAAGTGGACTCATAAAAGTATGTATATATAGGTTTGAACGTTGACAATCCCAACCAGCTCACCCCTACTAAGAAACTTGTTGCTCAAGTTCAACCTCTCTTTTGTCTATATCCCTAGAACTTCTAAATGCTAATATACTCATTCATCAGTTGCAGCTGGCTCAAGATGCTAAAACTTAGCACTTAATTTTTTCTTTTTTTATCATTTGCCATCTGAGGCAACGAATGTACAAAACTTTGTAAATTTTGCTTTCAGATAATGAAATTTATTTGCCTATCCAAAAAAAAACTCACCCCTACTATGGAGCTAATGATGCAAGTGAAGGTGAGAAAGATGTAGGTAACCACTGCTCGGGATGCAGCCTGATGTGCCACCTCCATTCCATTCATTCAATTCAGAATATTTGACATGAATTATTATTGTTAATAAATTCCTTTCGTTTCTTTCCATCTCTTAATTTCTTTTCGTTTTTTCGGGAGCTTGCTGATGAAACAAATCATGCATGGAATGCTATTTCTGATGGATTAATTATAAGGACGTCATTTTCTAATGGATATATTCATCATTAACAATGGAGATTTGCTCGTCCTTGTACTAAATTTACTGATGTAAATCTATTTTCTGATAAATAATCCCAATTCCCAAGAATGGTAGTATTGATCATCTACTGAAACTTCAACTGAGACAACAATCAGTTTAGCACGTTTACTTTTAACTGAGAAAGAGATTTAAAAAAGAAGAATCATTAGATTATTGGGGAAACAATCCCCCCATTTGCACGCCATACAGAAGAAAACCAATTAAATACTAATAATCAACTCACTACCATGTGTAAATTTGAAATGATAGACAGACAACTAAGACATCTGATTTAATGTTAATTAGTTATACAGTAGTATCATTCTGCTGACAGCATGTTCTAACAAATATTGCTCATCAGTTTCAGGCCTGAGATGGTGATGTAAATTAATGGGTTGAGCTAATTAACCAATCGATCAATAGGGCCCAAGCTATATTTATATATATCCAACCGCATTCTCCTCCCTTATTCATTTATGTTCATGTGAAGAGTTGGTGCTGCATCGCCAAGTTAATACCAGTATGGCTCATCAACTGGCGGGAACCGACGACATAGAATCTCTGAGAATCGAATTGGCTGAGATTGGAAGAAGCATGAGATCTTCATTTCGACGCCACACTTCGAGTTTCAGAAGCAATTCATTAACGCTGAATTCCACGAGGGATGAGGAAATCAATGATGATGAGCTTTATTTACAGTGGGCGGCAATCGAGAGATTGCCCACTTTTGAAAGGTTGAGGTCGTCCTTGTTCGATGATTTCGGAGAAGGAGAAGAAGGAGAAGAAGGAGAAGGAAGAGAACAAGTTAAGGGGAAACGGGTGGTTGATGTCACCAAGCTTGGAGCTCTTGAAAGGCAGGTTTTCATAGAGAAGCTCATCAAACACATTCAGAATGATAACCTTCGCTTGTTGCAGAAACTAAGAAGAAGGATAGACAGGTAATAGTCAAAGCCTTTTTTTCTCTTAACATACGATTAATACTTCAAGTTCACAATGACTAAACTTGAAAGGAGCAGAATTCCAAGAGAGAGAGAGAGAGAATGCATGATAGCTCATATGGTTGCTCCTGGATGTTGATTTTGGCCGTGTGATTATTATTTTGCAGAGTTAGCGTGAAACTGCCCACTGTGGAAGTGAGATATGAGAATCTGTGTGTGGAAGTTCTGTGTAAAGTTGTTCATGGAAAGCCCCTTCCAACTCTGTGGAACTATTGCAAAAGCTTGCTTTCTGTAAGTATCTGCATCGTCTAGAATTGATTTCAGAGCTTTTATGATCAATTTTGTTTGGTGAAAAACTCAAAAAAAAAAAAATTATAAAGAGAAATGGACTTCCCAGAAGCTTGTTTTGGTAGCTTCTTCAAAGCGGATGAGTCTACGCAGCTCAATAACACTGAAGCTCTCACAATCAGGCCCTCCTCATTCAGTTAATAACTTGTCTTTGCAGTGAAACTAGTTTTAGATCCGGTTTAGTAGGGGTTTGGAGATCTTATATCAAACCATTAAATTACGGTTTAAGGAATTCCCAGAACAAATCAAACCGTTTTTAGTAAGAAAATCAAACCAGACCAAACCGTTTTATATGCATGTATTTAATACCAGCATTATAAAATACGAGTTCCTTATACAAATATTATAGATAAAAAGTATATTATAAATCTATATAATACTAGAGAATTAGCAGGAACATGTGCGATGTACGGGATTTATTAAGCGAAAGTTAAATAATAAAAATATTCATTTATTAAAATACCCCTTATAGTTTTATGGATTTACTAAAATCTACCTTATATTTAAAATTTTACTAACACACCACTTATAATTTGCAATGGATTTAATCAATCTTCCATTAGATGACCGTGGAAAATAACAATGTTGACCCTAATGTTCATTTAAATCATAGTTTTCAAAACTGGACTAGACCGAACAATCAAAGCGAAAAAAAACCAGGAACCGGTTAGGTGACCGATTTCGGTTTTCCCCAAAACAGGATTTTCTTCAAAAATCGTTGTTTTGGTTAGCAAACCGCTGACTTGGGCAGTTAACTATTCGAACAGTTTTGACTTTATTTTAATTTTTTTTTGTCAGAACGGGTCGATCGTTCGATTTGAACGGTCGGGTCGTTCGACCCAATAACCGAACCCCTGACAGGATTGGTTTTAAAAACCATAATTTAAATAAATTTATCAAAAGAAAATAAAAATAAAATACCATTTTTGCCCTTAATAAGACACAGACAACCACTTTATTGGCTATATTTGGTTTATTTTGTTTTCTGTACAAAAAAAAATGTGTTAAGGTATTTTTGAAATAAAAAATCATGGGCCTAATGGCAAAACAAACATTCCTTAATGAAAGGTTGATTAAGTAAATAAGTTGTCAAATAATAGGGATGTTTTAATAAAATGAAAATTATAAGGTAGGCTTAAGTAAATATGTAAAACTATAAGATGTATTCTAGTAAATGACCTTAATAGAATCACATAAGAGTAAAATTGTTTTATATTTTCAAAATTTTAAATAATTAATAATTATTCATATTTTATATACTACTTTTACTATTTTTTTTATAATACAAAAATAACAATAATTAATTTCACTTAGGTTTATTCATCAAACTGATGAAACCGACCAATGAGCACTACACATGATTAGTCTTTCAGCAAAGACTGATATCAAGAAGCTTTCTTGATCTTTACCCTCACAGAGATATCAAACTGGCAGTAGATGGTGGTGACTGCTGGAGGAGAAGACTAGAGAAGAAGGTAGCGAACTGCTTTCTCCTCTCTAGGGTTTCTCTGAGATCCAATCTCTAGATTGCAGTGTTCTCTGCGAATTCCCTTAAGGTCCGAATTCTTGTAATTCGAATTAGGGTTTCTCCTCTTTCTTTCTTAGTGATTAAAAAACCTTCTAATCCCATTAGGAGTTATCCTAATCCAAATTTGTATTTGGATAAGGAGTCTTCTTAATCCTATCTGCAGATTAGATCAGCCCACTCCTGATCTTATCAGGAGGTTACCATATTCAAATCCTAATGTGAATTTGGTTTCCATGAGTGGATAGGGTTAAGACCGAATCCTTTTGGCTTGACCTAATCTCAGATCCGCCCCTTTAAGTGACTGATCAAATCAGCCCGGTTCGAAATAGGCTTTAAGCCCAATATGTATCAAGTGCTCAATAGGCTTCCAAACTGTTGCCCAGTTGGGCTTCTTTGTATGCGTGGGACCCATGCATTGATTTACACATTAGCCACATGGGTTTAGCCCAGCATCTGTTACAAGGCCTAGCCGAATTCACTAGAAAACCCAGTGAACCCCTTGAGCCCATCACATGGACTCTATGGGCCCAACACTTACACTAAGTGGTCCCTGGGCCAAGCTATGTTATAAAAACCTAGGGACTGTAGGCAGATGCAAAATTAGCCTATCAGGTATAACCCTAAATGGCCTTACACTTAACCTCTCAACCCATAATGATCAAACACTGCCTG